ATCATGACAACACTCCATGTCACACATCATTTTTGATATATGGCAATTTCTGTCAAAAATGTTATACCATGTGTCCTCACCCACCTTATTCACTGGATCTGTCACCATGCAACTTCTGGCTCTTCCCCAAAGTCAAAATGACCATGAAAGGAAAACATTTTGAATCAATTCAGCACATTGAGGCAGCCACAACAGCGCAATTAAAGACACTAACAAAAGAGGACTTCCAGAACAGCTTCAGAAAGTGACAACAACAATGAGATAAGTGTGTTCAAAGGGAAGGGGAGTATTTTGAGGGGGATTAATGGCAAAGTGTCTTGTACTGTAATACTTTTTTTTTTTTTAATTTAAGCATTCACCAAGTTTTTGATCACAGTCATGTATAAACAATGACAACTTAGACTTCTCCAATTACTAATAACAACCTGGTGAGAACACTCACATTAAAATTATCTTAAGACAAAGAGGTACAATGTTCTCTTATTAATGAGATTTATTTTTGTGGGTTAATTATAAGTTGTATTGATAGTGATTTAGAATTCCAATTCATATTTTTAATAAATCATGAAGTCATTTTTTGTTGCTAAGATAAACTAGTTTGAAACTTTTTTGAATTGTACTATATTGTAGAAACATTGAGAACTTTTCTATAACTTATTAATGTCTACTAATTTCATAGATTAATTAAATGTCTTAATGTTTTATGTATCAATGGCTTATTTCAAAACAGAAGGTTTTAGCTTTACAATGTATACTATAAAATTGAACTTTTTCATGATGAATTATATCAACTTTTTATCACAAACTTTGCCATCTATTTTTAAAATCCTATTTGAATTTAAAAAAAATAAGAAAATAGATCTCTTTCTGTTTTGTTTTGTTTTTAGCTCAATTTTTAAAGGATCAGCAGTGTGTGTGTATCATTTATCTGATATACAGACTGTGTTTAATGGGCCCTTTGCCCACAAAGAAGGGCCCAATCATCAACTGGTTTCCTATCAGGGTAGAATTCCATATCCTCGCCCTGGAACTGTAAGTATCCAAGAAAGTTTCTTTGTTATTTTGCTTTTAAAAAAATATATAACAAGAAATGAATATCTTGTTGATGGTTATTAAATACAACCATAGACCTGCTGGTATATTCATTATAATTTTTCAGCTCACTGCTTTCCAGATTTGGGATTTTACATAAATGTTATAGCACTCTCTGCAATTTTTTTCGAAGTGCTATTGCTAGTAAAATCATATTTAGATTTGAAGACCATTAGGTATGTCAGACAGGGCAGAGATATTTTCCAAATTTCATTAGCATAAGAATCATGGCCTAGAAAGTGTTAACCATTCAGTGGCAACCTAAGAATTTGGATGCTAGTTGCTTTTCACAGTGTTCCTTATATTAAGGAATATCATCTATTTTAATGAAGGGGTAACCATGTGAGATTTAATTTAGAGATAAATCATGTGGCAATATTTCACTTTTAAGGGATGTATTTAGTTAAAATTTACATGTTGTTATTTCTCAAAGAAAGAAAGTGGTATGTGCGAGCAAGTAATTACAATGAAAATGATGCTACAATTCAAACAAATTATAAACTATAAAGTTTTGACGCATACAGATATATCTGTGCCTTGCAATATTAGTAGTGTTAAGGGGTACAGTGAAAACTAACTTTTTTAGCTGACGTTACAGAGCGGGTACTGGCAGATTGGAATTGATATTTTTCTAGAACAACAATGATCACAGTTCTATTTGTTTTTCATTTGGCCCATAATAATGCTGCCTTGCTTTCTAGAATACTGATTTTTTTCTGTCTTGTAAAATGTCAGACAGTATAGTAATTGAAAGGAGATGATATACAATGGACCATCAGGAGGAATATAATGTTTTGTATCTTTCCATTCATAGAGTAGGGTCATAATTATAAAATGGGGTGGATGTAAGCAATGAAGAATGATTTTATAGGAAAAAAATCAAAAGATAATGTTAAAATAATATGAACATAAGCAAAATGTTTCTTTTTTACTTTTAACTTAAATATGAAATCCCTTTGCCTATATGTTCCGACCCATTCCATAATTTTTTACTAATTATTGATTCACTTTCTTTTTGTTATTAGTGTTTATCCACAGTGCATTATTTACTCCCTTATTGTATCATCATTTTAAATTAAACTGCTGTCACTTTTTTTAAATAGAAAAAATAGTTCATTAAACCTTTAAGAAACTATTTTTTCAAAATTAAATGGTCTCAAGTTTGGTTTCTTGCTAGGAAGCTCAAAGATTAATCATCAATATGTATTTTATTAGGACATTTAACTTAATTAACATTGGAAACATTATGAGCATTTCTACTTATCCATAAAAGAATTAAATTTTAAAAAGCCATACTTAATCATGTCTGGCAATGAAGTCCTATCATAGAATTCACGATCTCCTTTTAAATAATCTCTCTTTGATGCTCATAGCTCAACAGAAGATCAAGAAAATAACATTTAATTATTTTGTATACCACAAGGCAAAGAAGTCAACAGTATATATATATATATATATATATATATATATATATATATATATATATATATATATATATATATTCCTCTTAGAGTACCTCAAGTTGGGGTATGTTGGATAAAAAGCAGAGATTACATAAGAGAAGGGAAAGTGAAGAGGGAAACTGAGCAACTTTTAAATTCCATTGTAATTCAAATGCTCTCATTCTTTTTCACTCAGCATGTTCCATGCATTTCCAGATGACTCACTAATACCATATTCAAAGATAAATCATATTTTTGAGAATTACTTGATATCTGGAGTTAACCAAGTCATTGCTTCATCTTAATACAGAAAACTAAGAGATGGTTGTGATTGTGTATACCAGCGTCCATTATTCTTTTGAACAGTGTATATATGGGATTTAGTACAGGAGCAATTGATTTGTAAACGCAACAAAAGTCCGCTTACCCACAAACAATACCTTAGGAGAAACCCCTCAGATAAACCAATGAAATGAATAAAAGAGAGCCCATTAACTAAATTAGGGTTCAAGGCCTCAGGACCTATGTGCGTGTGTGCTGGAGCCAGTTTATGTGCTTATGTGCAGCTCACAAGAGCAGACTGTGTGCACCTTGTTCAAGACATCACAGTAATAACTTGAAATCAGCACAGCCTGAGTATTTACACCATGGAAATTGGCAAATATTACAAATCAGGGATTCTTTTCCTGAACAAAAGCCACCATTGTCCCATCGCTCATCAGATTTTTCACCCAAATGGCAACTCAAAAGGACTCTGAGAATCACAGTGAGAGAACCACTGGAAGTCAAATAGCAATTATTCTACATAAAATGTAGGACTAGATAAATAAACCCTTTTTAGTTAAACAAAAGTAACTAATGCTAGATTAGAAAATTCTGCGAACAGTTCCGCTTTTCACTATTTCCAGGCTCCTAAGAATAAGCATTTATTTTTTTCCTGTCCTAAAGTAGTGTGGAATAAACCAGGGCTTATGGACACACATCTGGAGCTGATGCGGTGATACGGGAGTCGTCAGTACTTGAGACATATTTCTAATAATGTGGTTTCTCACATCTGGTGCTGAGAAAAGAGCAGCTCCTTTAAATTAAAAAAAAGCTTTTTTTAATTTAATTTAAAATTTAGCTGTGAGCGATCCTTATGGAGTACAAGAGGCAGGGTGGAGGGGTGACCTCTGGCACTCCTCCTAGAAAAGCATTCCTCCCCGAAGATTTGGTCCCTCCACCCTTTACGGAGCAACACACCATGAAGTCAGCTCTCTGACTCAGAGTAGCCAGTGTCTGTCTCTTGCCTGGGCTTCCAGGGTTTAATATCGCACTCGTGTAGCCAGAAGACCTACAGCCAAATGATCCGAAACGTTCCCTCTCCTCTAGGATTAAGAATGCTGCCTCTGAACTCCTCCCAGTGAAGAATCAACTGTGACTGCTGTACTTATTTCCCTACACAGTAGTCCAGCTGCCGGGTCAGCCTCATAAATATATGACCGGTTCTTAAGGAAATGACACTGGCAGAAATCGTATACCCTCATTCTAATTTCCCAGTAGGTGCTTCTTTGAAAGCAGGCTTGATAGTGCTCTGTTCGTAAACTGCCCCAGCCAGCAAGGTTAAGTCAGTAGGAAGAAGGCTGCCAATTGTGTCATGATGTTTTTCCATAAGTAATTCAAGTTTGTGGAAGAAACAAGACACTTTTGGTATGTTGCAAAGGGCAGCCAAAGACTGCAGATTCTCTCTGTGGCGGAGCTAACATATTCCCTTATTCTGTGGCAGCACGTATAAGGCTTTTTCAGAACACTGTGTTTGCATCATGTTAAAGCTATCATGTTAAAGCAAAACCTAATAAAAGTGTTCAGTGTTAACATATGTTGAGGAGTGGAGCAGAACTGTTTACTTAAATCATGGTGCTTTGTACAGGTCTGGTACCTGGGATAGTGGAAAACACAGAAAATTCATAATCCACGTAGTGCTGGCAAGAAAAAGAGATGCTGGCACTTTTGTTGATGATGTTTTTCCATTAGAAGTATTTCTGTTTCTCTCAGATACGTGAAAATATTCAATTAGTAAGGTTTACAATAATATTCAACACATAAGGCATAGAGATGTGCAAAGTCAAATTACCTATTGTTTCATATCATTATTCAGACCATGCGAATAAAATAGACAATAAACATTGCATTCTGGAGGAGAGAGATTGTCCTCAGCCTTGTGTGGGAAGGCATGTTAAAAATATGAGATTGAGCTGGCCCTGAAGGGCAGTTGGATGTGGATTAGTGGACAGCTACAGAGGGATGTTTCAGGGAAAAGGCTACAGCTTACATTACAAGACAGCGATGGAAGTGAGAAGTGAGTCCAAGAAGCTCTGCTGGGGCAGGCAGGACTGGAGCAGAGGGCTCCTGTCGGGGGTGGAGGATAAATACAAGGAAGCAGAGAGGCAGCTGGTGCATAAGCACAGGCCTTCGACTGGTTAATGGTTTGGGCTTTAAATAAAACAAGCCTAGATGACCAAGGGTCGAAACACAAGATCAGCTTCCTCAGAATGCAAGGTTCGCAGACCCCTGCTAGAAATTCACCCAGATCCTGGAATGCCGCTAAGCCCATCTATTTATCTCTGACCCACTCATCTTTCCAGTGTTAGGTCAAGCTCCCCTTGACTGTGCCAGTTACAGCTTCTCTGACGGGTTTTGCGTTTATTTGCTGCCGTTTTCAGCCTCAGCTGCTGCCTGTCCCCTCCCCTTTGTGTTCTATGATCCAGCAATGCCCCGAGAATTACAGTTTTCTAAATACGCCAAACTTTGTTTACTTATCTCTAAACTGCTTCACTGACCTTGGCAGCCTTAAGTTCTCCACTATTCTAAATTCGTTTAAAAAATATTGGCTCCTCAACATAGATGGCAATTGATTATGAACCAAGCTCTGTTATTTATGTTATATTTGCCTTAAATTATTGTTATAAGCCTTATCGTTTTGCTTTGAATGTCCAGCTTTCTTACCAGAATACATGTGTCTAGAAAACAGGGGTAGCTTCTTCTTCTTATGTTTCCTACTGGGCACATCAGAATACTTTTTGAATAAAAGCTGTCCAAAGAATGGACATACGGATGAATAAATAAATATATTAATGCTGAAAACTAATAGAATGGATGTGAAGATTAGGAGAGCATTTAGGAGCATAATAGGATAGCAGAGGCCCAAGCATGCCTGAGAATAGGAATGAAACGAGGTACGGGCAGCCACTGCTGACACTTCCCTAACATGGCATTCTTATTGTTCCTAGCATTTCACCTAACACTTTAGTAATCAAAACACTTAAAATGTCTTTACTCAAAAAAGGAGTGCCTATCACTGCTTGATAAACAGAAAGTTAGAACTGTAGAAAAACAAGCACTTATAGGAGAAGTTTAACCAAAATTACTTAATGACTATTTGTGGAGTAAAGTTATCCTACCAAAGAATGTGATACCAGTCTGATTAATGGATAAAGGCTTTATTTTTATGGTAGCACATGGACGTCATTTTATCTTTAGATTCCAATACACATGGCTTTCACATAACACAAGGTGAGCTATAAGTTAATCGTATCTTGTTTATACTCGGCAGCATTATACTGAACAAACTCTGAAGTCCAGATAGAGAGTCTGCGAAGGGTGATCAATTTTTGTTCTTGTCACCATTATTGCCATTTGTTCTGTGTCTTATCTACAGACTTTATCCCTTGAATCAATGGAAAAAGTAATTATTGTCAAAAAGAATTCCTTTGTGATTTTGAAAATAAACTCATACTAGAAGACACTTGTTTCTAAGCAAGAAGTCCATTGGGAATATATAAACAAAAGCCCCCAATGGGGGACATTGGAAAGAAAATAAAATAATTGATTGGAGTTGATTTGTGTGGATGGCTTATTTAATTACTATGGTTTTGAGCAATCACAATGTAAATTTTTATCTGAATTTTAATTATCATTAAGTAGAACCCACAAATGAGACACATAATTGAATTTATCACATGTGAAAATAATTGCTGAATGGAAGTTATATAAATTGTAATATGTGCTAACTTTGGATCTCTTTGGAACTTACAAATGAGATGCTTGCATATATTTAAAGAGACATCTCAGCTTGGCAAACCATAATTAGTGGTGTTCTATGGAGGTCTGGAACTATTTAAATTGCCCATGCATTGTTCTTTCCATGTTTTCATTCAGTGAGCAGTGTATTTCCCTTTTTCCACTTTGCATGAAGAATGAGGGTAGAAAACACCCATAATGCTATACTTTTCAGAAGTATGGAACACATCCATCTGTCCAGAACACCCTCAAATGAAGTTCTTTGTCCTCATTTGGTCTTCGCTGTGGTCAATTTATAAACATGTGTCTTTCAATATAATGCTTTTTTTCTAGAAGGAAAAACGTGTGAGCCCCAGAGGAAAGTCTTGTTAATGGGATAAGAAAGGAGAGGCTTACTTTTAATACTTGTCTCATCATTTCTCCTTAGTGAAGTCATTTAAGTGTTCCTTGTACCTTTCTACAAAAAGAGAACTATATTTACTGGTCCTGTAAAAAGTTCGAGTAATGTTAACTGGTCAAAGTTAATCTAAAAAGTGCATTCAGCATGATCCGTCTAAATGGATGTGGCTGCATTAGTCACTTGCTGAGACTTACTTGTAAATGTGGGTCTGCCCAGCATTACTGGCCCAGAGGCACTAGCTTTGCTGGATAGCTGTTGAGAGGATTTAACCAAGAGGTTGCTGTGTTTTGTTTGGTCCCTAAAATTGTGTTTCTGTTTTTAATTGAGTCAACATTAAAATGTTAGCAGATTGCACACAAAATTCCCCATTACTACCTTCTGTTGAAATCTGGCCACACCAGGCTGATTTCCTGCATAGGAGCCATCAGCTAGAAATAAGCGTTCATTGCCACCTGTGGATAAGGAATAAGTTTCCAGTTTGTTATTGTCCTTATTACGTGCTATCCGTTTACCACGGATGCTGTACCCATTGCTATTGGGCAGGAAGCTTGCTTCATGGGTTCCCTTTTACTTGCACCTATTTAAAGAGGATAAATGAAAACTAGAGCAGGAGTGCTTGTGTTTCAAGAAAACTTTGAGAGTGTATATTTATTCTGAAAGTAGAGATCTTGGGTGTTTCGTAGGGTTAGACAAATAATGTTTGTATGTGTTAAAAGATTTACCCAACAGCTTTGCTGATATCACGTAACACTCAGATCCTATTAGTGAGTGAGTCTGAGTTCCAGGCTATAGCAGTTCCCAGCCTACCCTTGAGGTTGGCCTCAAGTGCCCTGTGGATGGAATCTTCTCCTCAGAAGCCCTTATGCTCCTTTTCTGGAACTGCTGAAGCTGCCCAGCAGTCCTTTTTCAGATCTCGTCATTGCTTTCTCTCTGCCCCTTTGAACTTGACGCTCTGAACCTCTCCTCTCCTGGCCAGAGTAGAGGCCCGCATTCTGTACCGCCTCTGCACCAAAACTGGATGCCAGATATAATAGAGTAGTTCACTCATTAAACTACGCTTCACCAAGTATCTACTATTGGTCAACTTTGTTATAAGTCTGAGGGTGAAACAATGAGTAAATAATCGCAGTTAAGAACAATACACAGCTGACATCCAGAGGGAGAAACAGACAATAAAAAGGCAAGCAGCTAATGTACTGTACAGTTAGGTAAATAGAACTGTGAAGCAACAGAAGCAGGCCAAGGAGACAGTGGGGATGGAGACGTGGGTGGTGGAGATGGATATGCATCAGAAAGAAACTTTTCAACTGAGAACTGAGCGAGATCACAGAGAAAACCATGGAATTGCCTGGAGAAGAGTATTCCAGATGGGGGGCAAGTGCCAAAGTCCTGGAACAGGAGGGTGTTTGGGGCTCAGGAAGAGCAAGAACTGCTGTGGGAGAGGCAGAGTCAGGCCAGACATTCAGGGGCTCGCAGGTCGTGCTGTGCTGTCGGGATTTTATTCTAAGATTAATGGGAGTCACCGGGGTCTTTTCTAGGGTGGGATTGTTGGGTCAGATTTGCCATACCCAGTCTCCTTTTCTAGGAGAAGGGATCAGATGAAATAAAATGTTACACATTAGAGTTCTGATTGCATTGGATTAACAATAGTCTATTTCAGCCAGTAGCAGCATTAGATTATAACCACATGATTTTTTGTGTAACAATACTGTATCTGCCATAGAATAAGAAACAGAAAAGTAATGGATAAGAAAGGTGAAAAGTTCCATACAGAATAGTGTCAGGTCCTCTCTGAAAACAGGTAGGATAGGATAAGTGAACTTAGCCTCATTCAAATCACCAGATTATATACCTGTATGTGTAGATTAATTTTCTGCAGGTAGTACTGTATAGTGTTACATATAGTTATGCCATTTTCTCCTCAGTGGGTAACACATATATTTAAAACAACTCAAACTTCTAGTATTTTGAAAAGTAGAGGACTTTTGAGCATTACGAAAACTAAGTAACTATTTTATTAACTTGATTTTTTTTTAAATATATTTTTTAGTGCCCAGGAGGAGCATTTACGCCCACTATGCGAACCACCAAGGAGTTCCCAGATGATGTTGTCACTTTTATTCGGAACCATCCCCTCATGTACAATTCCATCTACCCCATCCACAGAAGGCCTCTGATTGTCCGTATCGGCACTGACTATAAGTACACAAAGATAGCTGTGGATCGAGTCAATGCTGCTGACGGCAGATACCATGTCCTGTTTCTCGGAACGGGTAAGTATTTGAGCTCAAACTATGCTTTTATGTGTAGAAAAGAGTGCAATAGGTAAGGACTATGATATTGGGACCAAAAGGTCTCCAGCGTTTACTTCTGCCTGACCGTCAGTGAGGTGGTTAATGTCCCTATGCCTTGGTTTCCACATCTGTAAATTGGAGTTAATAAAATAAATTAGTGTGTAGGGTTGTTTTAAGGAACAAATGGATATGTAAAGCACCTAGAATAGTTCCTGGCACATATTATAGTGAAATGTAATAATAATGACCTCAATGGAGAGATGGGAAGAAATATTAAGCACGGGTAAACAGTTCTCTCAACTAAACCAAATTCTGACTCTTTTTTATGAATACATGGATTCATTTTCCAGTGATAATGGTAATGATAGATATGGTCTAGGTAACATTTGAAAGTGCATTTAACAACTCAAATACAGATAGTTTTTAAAAAATATTAAAGGCACTATTTTAATACATCCACAAATTCTAGTTTGTCAGTTTACTTTCATAGACAAGTTGAGTTAAAATACTCTTCTTTATAGACCTACATGATGTGGAATAGCTAGGCTCGTAGCACAGGTTCTCAAAGTGCAGTCCCCAGATCAGAACAGCAAAATCAATGTCACCCAAGAACTTGTCAGAAATGCAAATTCTCAGGCTCTGACCCTGGAACTCTAGAAATGAGACCCAGCCATCTGTGTTTTAACAAGCCCTCTAGGTAAACTGATGCATACTAATGTTTGAGAACCACCATTCAAAAAAAAAGGAATTCCAGGTGTAGCCTGCTAGCCCAGTTGGTTAGAGCACAGTATTCATAACACTAAGGTTGCTGGTTCGATCCCTGCATGGGCCACTGAGCTGCACCCTCCACAACTAGATTGAAACAACTACTTGACTTGGGGCTGATGGGTCCTGGAAAAACACACTGTTTCCCAATAAAAAATTAAAAAAAGTAAGAAAAATAAATTCCAGTTTGCCTGTCAACCTGTAAATAATATCTTTCCCTGACTACCTTGCAGACAGTGATGAAATCTCTTTGTCTTGTTTTAATATTAAAATTACTCCAAATTCGGTAGTTTCTCTACTAGTTTGAGAACTGGATGTAAAATGTGTCTGTAAACTTCATTATAAAATACCTACTGGTGGAATAAGTATTCTGAGCTAAGGAATAAATTACACTCAGACTTCAATCAGTGTAAGATGTGGATATTTTTTCTTGGCTAAATATAATTTTCAAAGTGTGCTTTTCTTATAAAGTTCTTATTTTATCCTTGTTTATTCTTATACTGAAAACCCCAGATCTGAATTTTCACTCTCGTGTAATTTTAGCTTATACTGGCCTGCGGCTGAGAAGCGTCTGACGCTCTCTTTGGCACCCTCCCCTAACCTAACACTTGGACATATCTGTGTTGTCACTATGCCTCTCTTTGCTTGCCTCAAACCTGAGAAACAATCAAACCTTCCTTCCCAGACTAACCCACTCTGCTCTCAATTTTTTATCTCCTCCTGCCATCTCCAAGACCTTTCTTGATCAATTATATTCTCATTCACTTTTTTCTTTTATTATATTTTCCCCTTAATCCGTAGCTTAGAAACCTTAGGCTGGGATATGAAACTAGACCTAACAGCCACCCACTGCAACCTCTGCTATACTGCTGATTTTGTCAAGGTCTTCAATATTCCCAGGATAAGAAAACCCTGTGGCCTTTACCCATTGAAATACCTCCATCTCCTTTTTGCACCGTTGGGCACTGTGGAATCTCTCTACCTGTTGCTTTAGCCACATAAGTCCCCCTTTGCCTGCAGTTCCTTCGCACTTTCTTCATTAGCCTGGCTTCCTTCTGCCTGTGAGTGTGAGTAGACTTCAAGGTTCTGTCTGTGGTCCTTTTTACATATTTGTTGGCCACCTCATTAACTCATTTGGTTTCAATTACCTACTCCATGCAAACAAATCCCAAATGTATATTTCTGGACATTGCCATTTCCTGAGCTCATTATATGCATTGACAACTTACTGTTAGATAACACAAATTGTATGAGCCATTAACATTTTAGACATCATGCTGCAAACTCAGATTATTCACTTCTAAAACTTTTACCAGTGCTTAATCCAGCCTCCCATATTTGTATTCTAATTGCATATTCCTCTCCAGGTTCTGTGTCTCCTTGATGTATAAATTTCCTCTAGGCATATCACAGTACGTGGTAAGCTCAAGACACATTTGTCAAGAGGAATTGAAAGTCATAACTCTGCCCATTTCTCATGTAATAATGAAATGAATACATAACTGATTTCAAGAGCATATCCATTTGCATATAAGATGTGTTCTCCAAATATGTAACATCTATATAAATGACTACAAAGAGTTGCTTTTAGCCTTAGCTCACATTAGTCAATGTAGAGTACATTTGAAAAGAAAAAAAAAAAAAAAGAAGAAGAAGGCTTTTTTCCCTTGAAGTGAAGTGGTAATTTTAGAATCACACTACTCCCTAATGTCTTGTATTACTCAGAGGGGGGGAAAAAAAAGTGCCTGTTTTCTTTTTTCCCTTTTGAACCCTGTCTTAAAGGTAGACTGTGATGTCACAATCGGGCTGCTTGTTCATGAAACTCTACATGAAATATATAAATTTCATGAATGGAATCTTCAAGTTTTTATAAACTGTGGAGCAGTGTTTATTCAGATCGAAGGCAGTAAGAAACATGCTTTTACACAAGTTCTTTGGCTTCTCTTACTTACCACATAAGTTTCTGGCACCTTTACATATACTTTTTACATTGGCATTTAAACATTTGTGTCATTTTGAAAGCAGTATTTAGGCATATGTTTTTAACTGTAGTGGGACGCTTTCCTAATGACTGCTTACAAAGCCACATGAGTCTCTTAAAGACTATTCTAATAGGAAAGAACGAGCTATGACCACGCTTCTGCCAATAGCATCTTTCTGAAGAGGTAGTAACTCATGCACTGAACCTTGTCCTATGGTCATATCAGACCACACTATGATTTAAAAACAATGATTTCAGTTTACCTAAAACTCTTAACAACCGGTCTATCAGTATAAAATATTTGCTGCCCAAGTAGTTCTTGGATTGCTGGCGAAATTTCTTTGACAGAGAATTCTCAGTGCTTGTTTGCTCCTAAAAGTAAATAAAATACTTTTCTGAAATGGAACTTGGGAGAAGCACAGGTTACTGTTCCCAAGATTTCTTAGCTTTGTGTATCTAAATGTCTAAGGAAGGATATAACATTTCTTGAGTGTTGCCAAATCCCTAAGTAACAAAGAGCCCTTTCACTGTAATAAATAAATAATCATGCTCCAATTATTGCCACAATCAGGCAAGCTTCTCTCATGGCTTCCCTCATCTATGGACCATCATGGAAAATTCAGGGGAGTTCAATGAAAACATTAATTGTCAAACAAGATGCCATAGGAAAAATTTATGTGATAGTTTCTTGGAATGCAAATACAATATTGTGTAACTGTATTCACTTGAAATATTAGAAATGATTTTGTACCTCCCAGAAACTCCATGGTAGTTGTGTGGGCACAAGGCCTAGTAACTGTTGCAATTAGCCAATTGGCTGAGTTTGAGAGGCTGATAATCTGGCCTTCCACTCACTCTCATGGGACTGCTTTGTTATATTTTGTGTGCTTCCAGATACCAAGACAGATAAACAGGCAGACAGACAGACCAACAATAGATAGATAGGTAGGTAGGTAGGTAGATCGATAAAAAGAATAACAGGAAGGAAAGACAGAGGGAGGGAGGGTGGGAGGCAGGATAGATGAGCTTTGTCCACTCATCTTTTGTTTTTCACAGTGTGCATATTCAGTGTGCGGTCTAGGGGTCAGCCAACTACAGCCTGGACCAAATCTAGCCCACTACGTGTTATCCTGAAACTGAGAACATTGTTTTGTATTTTAAAAATGATTGAAAAAAAGAACAAGAAGAATATTTCATGAGCAGTGAAAATTATAAGATTTTTAGATTTCAGTGTCCATAAATAACTCTTTATTAGAGTAGCCACATCCATTCATTTCCATTTTGTCTTTGGCTGCTTTTGTGCTACAACGACAAAGCTGAGTAGTTGCCACTAAGACTGTGTAGCCCACAAAGCCTGAAACATGTATTATTTGGCCTTTTACAGAAAAAAATGTGCTGACCCATTTTTGTCATTTAGTTTTATATATAATTTTAGAAAAGTGACATCTTAAAGAAGCTATTTTATAATATGTAGATATAATACAGGAATTCATAATGTTGCCCCAAATAAATATTTCTTCTTTTATCTTGAATAAAAATTAATCTTGCTAGTCTATTAAAACTTAAACTAGAATCTATGTTTACTTAATTATTTCCCATTCATTCCTACTCCTATCCCCTCTATAAAAGATCACAGCTTGAAAAGAAAAGTGTATTTTAAAATCAGTGCCTTATTTCATTCTTTAGTATTTGTGATGTTTTGTGGCATTTTTTTTGTTTGTGTAGTTCTTAGTATTGAGGTTATGGGTATTTTTGTGTTCCTTACACCTTGTTTGTGTTTGTTTAATCTTTAAGAAGGACTGAAAACAGCAGACAAGGTTCTCATAGGACTCACATTTCTATTTTAGATTTGCCACTTACTGCTTACATTCCAGGCTTCCTTTTTCAAAGCCCACTGTGTTGCACAGTGAAGAGACATTTGCCTGTTTTCCTTTTGCTTCTGGAGTTATGAAAATATTTCAGTGCCTGGGTCAGGTTCAGACACGTTCTGTCAAATTTATATATTTTTTAGTGCTCTACATGAATCAGAATGACATGTGGTTTTTGATGAAAGAGCCTATTCTTATGAATGAATGTTAGAGGTTTAGGATAATTTAATGCCATCATGATTTTTTTTAAGGTATTCTGCCAAAATTCTTCTGTAGTATGTACCGTTTTATGCTTCTTATTAGCTTCTGTTTAACTGGGTGAGTACTAGGTTGGAATGTTGGCTCCAGTAAGTCCTTTGAAAGTG